CGCCTTGGTCACCCGTCAGTGCAGCGTCTTCGTGGCATGCACTCCCGATACCTGGTCTCTGGTCTTCCCAGGGTTCTCCCTTCCCTCCCACCCTCGCCTGCTCCTCCCTGTCTTCCCTGTGTTGAGGGGCGGCAGCGCGCCGCCCCTCACTCCTCCTCGTTCCCTCCCATAGAGGCTCCTCTGCAGACCCTCCACCTGGACGTGTGGGGCCCAGCCCGCGTCCGTGGACAGGGCCACGAGCGGTACTTCCTGCTGGTTGTCGACGACTACACGCGCTACACCACGGACTTCCCCTTGCGTACCAAGGGTGAGGTCCCTGATATTTTGATCCCTTGGATCCACGCTGCTCGTCTCCAGCTCCGCGAGCGGTTCCAGTCGGACTTTCTCGTCCTGCGTCTGCACTCTGACAGGGGTGGTGAGTTTTCCTCTGACCTCTTGGCAACTTACTGTGCGGAGCACGGCATCACCCAGTCGTTCACGCTTCCGACCTCTCCACAGCAGAATGGGGTTGCTGAGCGCTGCATTGGCTTAGTCACGGAGATCGCTCGTACCTCCTTGATCCATGCGGCTGCCCCCCATTTCCTGTGGCCGTTTGCAGTCCGGTACGCCACGCATCAGCTCAACCTCTGGCCCCGTGTCTCTGCTCCAGAGACCTTGCCCAGACTGCTGTGGACGGGGCAGGTTGGCGATGCGTCGCGTTTCCGGGTCTTGGCTGCTCGTGCCTTTGTCTGCGATACCACTGCGGACAAGCTCTCCGCCCGTGCTGTGCCCTGTGTCTCCTTGGCTTTGTCCCCGGCGCACCTGGTTGGCAGTTTTACCACCCCACCTCGCGCCATGTCTTCCCCTCTTGGGACGTCACTTTTGACGAGTCGGTACCCTTTTACCATCTGTTCACCTACCGCACTGCTCCGCTCCCTCCCCCGCCTCTCTTCCTCACCCCAAGTGCCCCTTTGGTAGACCCCCTCCCTCCCTAGGGTCCTGCTCCCCCAGGTGTTTCCCAGGTAGACCCAGTCGAGCCTGTCGAGGTAGCTGTTGACTCTGGTCTTGAGCGGGGTACTGAGCCTGGGGTTGCTGAGGCTGGGGGTATTGAGCCTGGGGGTGCTGAGACTGGGGGTGCTGAGATTGCGGGTGCTGAGCCTGGAGGTGCTGAGACTGCGGGTGCTGAGCCTTGGGGTATTGAGACTGGGGGTGCTGAGCTTGGGGGTGCTGAGACTGAGGGTGCGTAGCCTGGGGGTGCTGAACCTGCGGGTGCTGAGACTTGGGGTGCTGAGCCTGGTGGAGCTCCCTCTTCACAGCAGCTGCGTGAGTGGTACTCTCAGGGCTACAGCCTCCAGCGTGGGGTTACTGGAGCTGGGGGTTCTGCCGGAGTTGGGGCTGGTGGTGCTGCGGGTACTGTGTCGCGGCCGGAGCCTCCCTCCCCTCAGCGGCTACGTGAGTGGTACGCTCGCCGGTGCAGCCTCCGGAGTGGAGCTCCTAGTTTTGAGGTGCCGCTTGCTGGAGGCCCTGCTGATACTGGAGGTCATGGAGCTGCTGGAGGTGCTGCTGGTGCTGCAGGAGGTACTGGAGCTGCTGGAGGTGCTGCTGGTGCTGGTCCTGCTGGAGGTGCTGCTGGTACTGCTCGAGGTACTGGAGCTACTGGAGGTGCTGCTGGTGCTAGTCCTGTTGGCGGTGCTACTGGAGCTGCTGGAGGTGCTGCGGGTACTAGTCCTGCTGGTGGTGCTACTGGTACTGGGGCTGGTGGTGCTGCAGGGGCTGGAGCTGGAGGTGCTGACACTCGTCCTCCTGCAGGTGCTGGAGCCGACGGTGCAGCTGGAGCTGGTGCTATTGGGGGTCCTGGAGTTGGCACTACTGGAGCTGTTGGTGGTGCTACAGGAGGTGGAGCCGCTGCAGGGGGTTCTGGCGCTGTCTCTGCTGAATCTGGGGGTGCTTCACGGCCGCGGCCATACTTTATTCCGCTCCTTCAGCAGGTTCTTGGTCAGCCGCCTCCTCCTTGTCCCGCTCCCTCTTTAGAGTGTCCTCCGCCTGTCTAGTCGCGGTCACGATTCCGCCTGGTCCTTCTCCTTACGCTGGGCCGACTAGAGGTCTTACGGAGCGTCGTGAGCCTGAGTCTCGTCCTGCGTTGCCTGAGTCTCGTCCAGAGTCACCGTGTTCCGCGTCAGCGTCCTCCTCCTGTCCCTGGCACTCACTATATGACTCTGCGTCCTTCCACTGCTCCCCAGCGTGTCCCTCTGCCGACTCCTCTTGCCTCTTCTCTTCCTGTCGTTGCTGATCCAGAGTCTGACTCTCTTCGTGCTACTAGTCCTACTGTCCCGCGTCTGCTCGCCACAGTTGTCACTGACCCTTCCTTTGAGTCCACTGCTGCGCCTGCCTTATTTGCTGAGCTTGTCGACTTTGCTGCTCACTCTTGTATAGACTACGCTACGAGTCTTGTTGCTGAGTCTAAGTCTGCTGTCCTCCGTCCATCGGGGGTGAGTGTGCTCTTGGCAAGGACGTCCTTCAGGACAGGCAGGAGGACTTTGAGTGCTTTGCCGCTGCTGTACCTCATCTCGTCTCCATGCTGATTGCACCTGATGGAGACCCGGATGCTCCAGACATCCCGACCCCGCGCTCTTACGCTGAGGCAATCGCGGGTGAGTACTCCTCTCAGTGGCAGACAGCCATGGACGCAGAGATGGCATCCTGGAATTCCACTGGCACTTATGTCGATGAGGTTCCCCCTCCTGGGGCGAACATCATCAGTGGCATGTGGATCTTCAGGGTGAAGTGGCCGCCAGGTTCTCCGCCTGTCTTCAAGGCTCGTTATGTTGCTCGAGGCTTCAGTGAGCGAGAGGGAGTAGACTCCTTTCAGATCTTCTCCCCCACCTCGAAGATGACCACTGTACGGGTGCTGCTGCACGTTGCCGCTCAGCGTGACTGCGAGCTTCACTCTCTTGACTTCAGCACAGCTTTCTTGCAGGGCAGCCTGCATGAGGAGATCTGGCTGCGCCGCCCTCCTGGCTTCAGTGGGTCGTTTCCTCTTGCTACCCAGTGGAGCCTCCGGCGGCCGGTCTACGGTCTCCGCCTGGCGCCATGTGAGTGGCACGACACACTGAGAACTACACTTGCGGCTCTTGGGTTCGCGCCTTCTACTGCTGACCCGTCGCTATTTCTACACACCGACACTTCGTTGTCGCCGTTCTACATCCTCGTGTACGTAGACGACTTGGTCTTTGCCACTGCTGACACTATGGCTCTCGCCTTGGTGAAGTCGGAGCTGCAGAAGAGACACACGTGCACAGACCTGGGTGAACTGACAAGCAATCTTGGCTTGCAGATCACCCGGGACAGAGCACGCCGCACCGTTACACTGACTCAGTCACAAATGGTGCAGCAGGTCCTTCAGTGCTTCGGCTTCACCTGGTCCTCAGCACAGGCCACTCCTCTGGCTACAGGTCACTCGCTCTCAGCTCGACCTTCGGACGAGTCCATAAAGCCAAGTGGTCCTGACCCAGAGCTAGTTGGCTGCCTCATGTACCTGATGACTTGCACTCGACCTGACCTCGCGTACCCTCTTGGTCTCCTGGCTCGCTACGTGGCTCCTGGTCGGCACCGACCTGAACACTTGGCTGCTGATAAGAGGGTACTGCGCTACTTGTGCAGTACATCAGGCATGGGGCTAGTGCTTGGAGGGAGGAGCTCATTTGTTCTCGCTGGGCACTCAGACGCTTCTTGGGTTGACGACCAGGCTACTCAGCGGTCGACACTGGGTTACACCTTCAGCCTTGGCTCTGGTTCAGTTTCTTGGCGTTCTACTCGCTCGTCTTCAGTTCTCAGCTCTAGTTGTGAGGCTGATATCTACGCCACCGCGATGGCTGCAAAGGAGTTGCGCTGGCTCACCTACCTGCTGACCGACTCGGGAGAGTGGCCTCGTTCTCCTCCAGCGCCGTACGTCGACAACAAGGCTGCCATTGCCTTGTGTGAGGAGCACAGACCGAACCACAGAACAAAGCACATTGCTCTACGTTACTTCCTGGCTTGAGAGTTGCAGCAGCGTGGTCAGCTTTGTCTGCGTTACGTGGCCACTCAGGCCAACACTGCTGATATATTCACCAAGGCATTTCAGTCTGGTGATCATCAGCACTTCTGCACTTTGCTAGGGCTTGTGCCCACCTTGCCTCACTTGCTGTAGGCTTTGCCTGTACTGTGATCTGTATATATACATATACCTGCATGCTTGCTTTGCTAGATCGAGATCACTGTGTTAATTTTTGCTGCATATATGCCTCTGCATGTGAACTGGCCTTGTGGCCCTCTGCTTGTGCTCATAGTGTGTGGTGACGTTGTGATCCACCCTGAGCTTGCCTTGTCTTTCTTGATTGGTCTTGTGACCCCTTGCTCTCCCCCACTTAGCCTATGGGGGTGTGTCAAACATTATATATGTTATTGCTGTGTAGGCTACAGTGGGTTAGCCTTTAGGGGGTACAATGCTCTGGGGTTTCCTACTTGTACCACCCATGTTTCTAGTTCAATCACTTCTTGTTTCAAACAGTCGTCAGTGGCACGGCGCAGTTATATGGTCATGACCGCGCACTGGATACCATGGGACTTGCAACTTTGACAGGCCACCCTTCATTTCGGGGAGATGTCGGAGGGTCAGAAAGGGACGGACATCGCGAAGCGGTTTGAGGAGGTGGTTCGAGCATGTGAATTGGTGGGGCGTTGTCATGGTATCACGACCGACAACGCCTCAAACAATGAAACAGCCATCAAGGAGCTGTCTAATGACGATGACCGCTTACCACTAATTAGCATGGACATGTTGTTAGGGAAATTGTGAACGAGCATGTGCATGTGTATGTATTGTGCATGCATGGGCATGGGCATATGCATGACGCTTGCTGCATGCGAATGTGTATGGTATGTGCATGGGTATGAGAATGTGTATCCAGCCTTTGCACGGTCTTGAGTATGTGCAGGACGTCATGCGACTGTGTGTCTCTTCAATGTTGCCAAACAGGTGCATGGCGCATATCCTGAACCTTGCATTTCGGAAAGCGCTAGGGGTGGAGACGGTGAAGGAGGCCCTGCAGCGCATACGCGACATGGCCACATTCGTTGGCCTCTCGCCTAAGCGCATGGCGCGATGCAAGAAGGAGCTGAAGGAATCGTATCCTTCCTTGCGAGACCTTAAGCTGGTGCTAGATTGCGAGGTCCGCTGGGGGTCCACCTATGCCATCGTGGCACGGGCTCTTCATCTTCGTCGGCCATTGAGCGCGCATTTCGCAAACGAGCAGGTTAGTGTCGGTTGTGATCTTAGGTGTTTTGCCCCGCCCCGTTCACACCCAAATTACGTGCAAGGATGTCGACGTCCATACATGTTCTTCTTTACTGCTCCGCCAGCACCAGGAACCCCCCCCCCCCACCCTTTCTCCATCCTCTATACCTTAACAACAGGGAACGATGAAGGAAGAGAAGAAGTACGCTGCTCTTCAGATAACTGATGATCATGGGGCGGCACTGCTGGCATTGAAGGGGTTCCTAGCGCCCTTTAACACCATCACCAAGGCGGCTAAAGGGAGTGCGTACCCCACTGTGACAACCATTGTGCCATACTACAACCTACTGCTTGACTCACTGGAGAGGATTTTGACTAATGCTGCAAACTCCCCCTCAGCCCTCCTTCGTGAGCTCGTTCAGGCAGCCCTACCCAACGTGTAGAAGTACTACAATAGAAGCACTGACAAGCTGATAGTCGCCACCTTCCTTGACCTTGGGTTGAAGCTGGCGTACTGCGCAATGGACAGTGTGCCTATAGTTGCGCAGGTGCCACAGGCGGAGGTGTTGTGCTTGGTGCGCTCGCGCTGGGAGTCATACCACATGTCGCAGAGGTTGGCAACGGCTAGTGTAGCACCGGCTGTCCCTGCAGTGGCTGAGAGGGCGCCCACAGTGGCTGTAGATGGGGGGGGGGGGGAGGAGGAGGACGAGGGGGTGCACTTTAATGTCGCTCTAGCTTGCTTGCGCGTGTTGCCGCTAGCGTGGAGGGTGGAGGGGTGGTTGGGCCGGGGGGGGGGGGGACGAGATCGAAAGGTACATGCTGGAGGGGCTAGTGCATAATGTTCCCTCTCTTGAAAACTGCCGTGACAAGCGCGACATGCCCGTTCTCAAGGCAATGACCTGTGACTACCTTGCCATACCAGCTTCGTCTACAGCCAGCGAACGCGTGTTTTTGTCTCCTGTGAAATATGTTCAGGAGGGCGAGCATCCTGCATCTTGATGTGAAAGACAAGGATTGAAGATAAATTGAATGATTCAACTATGAGAGTCTTGGGTTTACATAGTTGGAAAGAGAAGAGAGGTGGGAGCCAACATTACTGGAGGCCCACCAATAAGTTGGGTTGGGAATTATTGGAGGGCCTCCAATAATGTTGACCACTCTTGAGTTGGGTCAACAGTATTGAAGGGGGACCAATAATTTTCCCAACCCAACCTTTGGGGTCCAATAATTTGGGCCAAAGGTTGGGTCTTTTTAAAGACTAAGGACGGAGTCTACGAAGATTAGAATTCTGGACAGAAAACTCGCGCTCACAAGAAACGCCGTCGACGAAAAGTTAACGATCAAAACTTCACCAAACTCAGATATGTTGGAGCTCTACTTCGTGGCTACAATTTCCAAGTCAAATCATACGAAAAGGTGAAGTATTTTGTGAGTTATCATTTTCGGCGCACTAGGGGGTATGCTGCCATAGAATCTTAACTCAATCACAATAGTCTCACAAGTTCACAATTACTACACAAGAGAGTTAGAGTAGCAATAAACCAGGTGGAAGGGATGAGGAGGATGAGAGGGAAGGTCACAAGAGAGTCTCCAACCAAGAAAACCCCATGCCACACAATTCCCTTCCCCATAGGCAACCCAGCTTTGACCTTTGTCACTATCCCAACCTCCACAATCCACCTCAACCCAACTTGGCCACACTTGCCAACCTGGTTTGGTTTCTCCCAACCATTTGGCTGCATCTACAGTGATGGGACGAATTTCCCAACCCCCAAAAGTCTGTACCCCATATGGAGTCAACCCCACAACTTCCCATAGTCACCACAACCAAATATGAAAAGCATGCGAACTTCAACGTTCGTAACTTTCTTGTTCGTGCTCCGATTGAAGTGATACCTGGTTCGTCGGAAAGCTCTTAAGCAGAGGAATCACTTCAGATATCTGCTCAAGCCAAATAACATTCACACACACTCAGAAAATTCAAACCACACAAAACACAAATTCTTGCACACGCTCACACCATGCATGCAACGCACGAACATATGATGGGAGGCAGACAGACGTGAATGCAAATGATAGCATCACAAAACAGGTCTCAACCCAACTTTAGGGTTAACCCTAGCTATACACCCAACCTGAGGTTGGGTGCTTATCTCTACCTGATCTTGAGAATATGCGTGCAGGTTACAAGAGAAGGATAATTCTAACACAACCCCTTAACCTGCAAGAATGGAGAAGATCAGAAGAGACAGAGGGTAACAACCCCTGAATCAGGGAGCGCCGAGGGGAGCAAGGCCGATAAGGCAAAGGAGAGCAGAGTGCGCAGGGCGGAGAAGCGCCTTAGTGAAGATGTTGGCCAAGTTGGCCTTGGCGGCAATCTTGCGAACGGCAACGAGACCCTTCTGGACTAATTCGCGGATAAAGAAGTAGTGGAGCTCAATATGCTTAGAGCGGCCATGGAAGACGGGGTCCTGAGTAAGATGGATGGTGCTGGCATTGTCACACCAGAGAGTAGGGCAGCGCTGAGGGGCGCCAAGCTCATCAAGGAGAAAGCATAGCCAACGGCACTCCTGAGCAGCCATGGTGCCGGCGTAGAGTTCGGCCTCACATGAAGAGAGTGCAATCGCAGAGGAGCGTACGCCAACTGATCAGGCCGCTGCCAAGTATGAAGCCATAACCCTGAGAAGAGCGGCGGTCCCGTTGCGAGTCCGCCCAGGAGGAGTTGCTAAAGCCAGTGAGGAGGGGTGGGGAGGAGCCGCCAAGTGTGAGGGCGTGGTCCTTGGTGCCGCGGAGGTAGCGGAGAACCCGTTTGGCAGCTGACCAGTGTTCCTCAGTGTGGTGGCCGGTGCCCACAAACCGAGCGAGGACACTGATGGGATAGGCGAGGTCGGGGCGTGTGCACATCATGGCGTACATCAGGGACCCGACAAGCTCGGCATAGGGACGGGAGGAAGAGGAGGGAGAGGTGGGCGGCGCCAGCTGATGACCGAAGGGGAGGTGGGTGGAAACGGGTTTGGCCTAGGCCATCTCGAATTTCTCCAGCACCCGGCCGATGTAGTGAGATTGGGAGAGGGTGATGGTGCGAGCAGCTTGGTTACGAGTGATAGTCATGCCAAGGTAGCTCTGTAGCGTGCCAAGATCCTTGCACTTGAGGCGCTCCTGCAGCGACCGCTTCATCTGCACCATGTCTGGCTTGGAATCGGCAAGTAGGATCATGTCATCAACATAGACCAGGATGAAGAAGTGACGGGGCAAGGAGCGGATGAAGAGGCTGGCATCGGAGTAGGAGGCAGAGAAACCGAGGGACCGGAGAGTTGCGGACAGCTTCGCATGCCAATCCCGTGGTGCCTGCTTCAAGCCGTAGACCGGGCGGCGTAGTTGCCATACAGTGTTGTCGGGGAAGGAGGCATGAAAGCCGGGGGGCCGCCGAAGGAAGATGCGCTCGTGCAAGTTGCCTTGGAGGAACGCGTTGGAGATATCCATGGAGTCAATCTCCATGCTGTCGCATGCACCAATGTCAAGGAGGGCACGGAGGGTGGGTGGCTTGATGGTAGGGGCGAAGGTGAACCAGAAATCCTTTGCCCATTCCTGGGTGAAACCCTTCGCAACGTAGCAGGCCTTGTAGACAGGTTCCTCTCTCGGCAGCTGCTTGACGAGAAAGATCCACTTGCCTTCAACAAGGTTGGCATCGGCGGGGAGGGGAACGTCGACGAAGGAGTCGTTGCGAATGAACGCTTCACATTCCAGGAAGATGGCGGCTATCCACTTGTCAGCATCAGGGTAGGTGATAGCTTCCTGGAAGGTGGAGGGGACAAAGATGGTGGGAGTGGAGATGGCGCTGGGGACAAGAGCGCCAAGGAAGTTGGGATAGAGCGGGGCGAGAGAGGGAGTGTGCTGGTGGACCGTATTAAGCTCCTCGTGAGAGTCCTCAAGGAGGTGGAGAGATTTAGGGGGCGGGGTACCAAGGATAGGATCAAGAGAGCGGGTGTGCATGCAGGGGAGGAGGAAAGGTGAGGAGCGAGCAGTTGCCCTCTGCTGCTGCCGCTGCTGGTGCTGATGGAGCGCCTGCTGCTGCTGCTGCTGCTGGTGTTGTTGCTGCTGCTCCTGCTACTGCTCCCGCTGCTGCCCCTGCTGCTGCTCCTGCTGCTGGTGCAGCTGCTGCTGCCGCTGCTCCTGCCCCTGCTGCTGCCTCTGCTGCTGCCCCTGCTGCCCCTGCTGCTGCCCCTGCTGCTGTCCCTGCTGTTGCTGCGGCTGCGGCTGCTGCTCCTGTTGCTGCTGCTGTTGTGAGGTAGACGGAGGGGAGGAGGGGGAGGGGGCCGTGGAGTGGGCGGGGGATGCAGGTTCAGCAGGATTGTAGATGTTAGCAGATGAGGGAGGAGGTAGTGGAGCAGGGAGAGGTGGCAGGAGTGGTGCAGGAGGGAGGAGGGGAGGAAGGACAGTGCCAGCCCAGGCGAGGGGGCGGGAAGGGGGAGGGAGGGGGTCAGGTGGGGGAGTAGAGTAGTAGGGGATGGTCTCATCAAAGACGACATCGATGCTGCGGATGAGGCGTCCGGATGGAGGGTGGAGGAAGAGGTAGCCAGGTGAGTCGCGGTTGTGTCCTAAGTAGACACAATCCAGAGCGCGAGAGGCAAGCTTGCCTTGGGTGCAATCGGGAGGAGGAATGAGGACGTATGCCTTGCAACCCCACATACGAAGGCCTGCAGCATCAGGTTTGGTGCCTGACCAGAGTTCTGTGGGGGTGGTGGTAGTGTGATGAGGATGGGAGTGAAGGTTGAGGAGGAGGGCAGCATGAAGGAGGGCATAGCCCCAGAGGGAAGGAGGGGTGGAGGCATGAGCAAGGAGACAGCGGGCGATTTTGGTGATTTCGTGGATGCGGCTTTCTGCGACGCCATTCTGCTGTGGGGAGTGGGGAAGGGTGTGAGTCTGTTGAATGCCATAGGTGGCGCAGTAGTTGGAGAGAGTGCGGTTGAGGAATTCGCCCCCACCGTCAGAGTGGAAGCGGCCGATGGGACGTTTGAAGTAGGTGCGGCACTGTTCAGCCAAGTTGATGATCACAGTTGGTGCCTGGTCCTTGGTGTGGAGGGGGAAAATGGAGGAGTAGCGGCTGTGATCGTCAACGAGGACCAGCATGTAGCGATGGCCCTGGCGTGAGTGGGTCGGGGAGGGGCCCCATAGGTCCATGTGGACGAGGTCAAGCGGGGCAGGAGCGAAGGAGGGATGGCTGTGATGAGGGGATTGCTTGAGTTTGCCGTGGATGCATGAGGGGCATGGGGGAGCGGAGGAGGAGGGAAGGGGAGGGAGGGTGGGGGGGAGGCTGTGGAGGAGGCGGGAGGTGATGGCAGTGCGAAGGGCTGTAAAATTGGAATGGCCGTGGCGGTGATGTAAGAGCACAGCAGGATGAGAGAGATGATATGAGGAGGAGGGGGCTGGGGGGGACGGAATG